CTTTTGGCCTTTTTTCTCCCCCTGCTAAAGCAGTTCCCTCAGCAAATTAGCATCAGGAGGTTTGCTGTCCTTTGTTTCCCTCTTCTTTGATTTCATTCTAATCTTAATGTGCCTTTAGTACCCTGGGGGAGTCCTTGAGTGGTGCAAATGGTTAAGCACTGGACTGCTAACTTGAAGAGGTTGGCAGTTCAAATTCTACCCAGGCACCTTGGAAGAACGGACTGTCGATCTGATTTGAAAGGTCACAGCCTTGACAACTCTGTGGAGTGCAGTTCTACTCTGCAATACATGGGGTTGCCATGAGTTGGAATTGCCTTGACCCCCAAATGTTTATTTATTTTTAAACCACCCTGGGGACAGTATCTCAGATTAAATATTGCCAGGGAGCCAGGGGTGGACTCTAAATGGCTGCTTAGTCCCCTTTTTCATTCATACCCAGTAAGCATATATTGACCTCTTACTACCGTATTTTTATGCCAATAGCGTGCACCTTATACCAGAACTGCTTTAATTTCATCATTTCCACGCGTCATTTACGTGAGCGTGTTATTTGTGAAAAATACGGTATATGCAGACCAACATACACAGATACTTCAAAAGAGCCTCTCATGTTCTTAGTGAGTCGGAAACCTCATCCAAATGCATTTGTCATTTCTTATAAAGACCTAGGAATGGTATGAGAGAAAACTGGCCAATTTTCCATTCCCTAAGAAGGGTAGATGGTTTTCTTAAAACCAAATGAACCTATGGAAACACTATACAACTACATACTGGGGAGAGCAGCATCCTTTAGTGGTGGTTGTTTAGAAGTCCCAGCCTGCCTCTTCTGGCCCTCAGTTTAATGTACATGCAAGAAATGAAAATAGATTTTAATCTGTGGTTACACTGTAATGTATCTTATCCAAAATTAAAAACTCATGGTAATGAGATGCTGCACTCTGAGATGATCCCTGTGGTAAGTTTTCAACGTGCACGCTTAGCTGCCTGCCGTAGGATAAGGGATGAGTGGAGGAACTTAGGATGCCCTGGGATTTCTTCTTTTATTTATTCTTGCATATACCAGTTTCAGCAACCCTCTTCCTCATCCTCTCCTCCTGAGAAATTCTGGATGTAAAACTGGCACTCAACTAGACCTAGCACTGCACTCAGGAAATGAACAAACAAGGGGAAAAGAGAACAAATTCATGTTTCTTAAAATACAAAGACGAATCACAACAAAATAGAGAGCATTTTTTATGCCATTTATTTGTAACAAAGCTATATAACTTCAAACAAAAGTATATCTGGCTTTCAACTGGAAGTTAAAAGGAAAGCCACACTATGGCTTTTATATTCCGTAACAGCATGTAGCTTTGAATTAAAAAGCAAAAAGAAGAATCCTTACATTTGGAAGTCTCTACGTTTCTTTGAAAAAGTTTATATATAGGACCATTATATTGCACTTTAACATAATAGAAACTCTTCTGAAAACTTGTGTGTAAATTGAAATTTCTGAAGAATAAATCAAATTTTTATTACATCAAAGTGTTTGGGTGAACAAAGAGAGGAATAAAATTAATCCATACATCTATCAATCAAATTCCTGGAGAGTTTAAGAGAGCCTGTGTTGAATACTTTCTAGTTAGACTATTACTTTTATAAAATGACTATTATATTTAGCCATTTTCCCAGAATCATTTTATATAGATAAGAATTTTAAAAGTATTGGCTTTGTTTAAATCAAGATGTTCACTACTTAAATGTCTGCTCATTTTAAAAATATGTTAAGACAAAAGTATAATATAGATTGCTTCTTTTTCCTGATAGGCTTTTTCACATAGCACGATATGAATAGAACACCACACGTTTGACTAATTTTATTTTCAATCTAAAATAAACAGGAATTAATTATAACGAATTTCTTTACCTTAAATATCCTCAAAAAATAGCTGAAATACACGTGCTTATCTGTGTTTTGTAAAAGTTACTAAGATACAAAAAGTAAGCCAACTTTTCCTGTAAAAGGCCAGATAGTAAATATTTTCAGCTATGCAGGCCATAGTTTCTGCTGCAATTACTAAACTCTGCTGCCCTAGCATGAAAATAGACATAGACAATATATGTAAATGATTTAATGCAGCTGTGTTCCAATAAGACGTTATTTATAAAAACAGGCGGTAGGCTGATTTTGAACCACTGGCTGCAGTCTGCGGACCCCAGGCCCATACTTTATATACCATTTCCAAATGTTAAACTTTCTTCTATGTAAAGTACTTTCAAACAGTGATAATTACATAATGAACTCAATTTGATAAATGAGTAACAGTGGAAAGTGAGACTGATGCAACATAGCAACAGAAAACTGCAAAAATCCTAACCTCACATGACGTTGAATTTCCTTAAAATAGTAATATTGTACTTCATATGGAAAACAAACAAAACCCAATAGCAGAAGCCACCAGGAGAACAAAGGTAATTAAAGGGAACTAAAATTTAATTAGGAAGGAACCCTTTTACAGCACAGGAAATAATTCTAAAAAGTAGACATACACAACCTATTCTGGATTTTCTTCTAAATATCTCATATTTATTTT